AATGTTTCCCTTATGTGGTCACTTTGACTTTAGGGAAGAGCCAGAAGTCACAGTTCACCGTATCTAGAGAATAAAGGAGATAAGACCCACTGTAATGTTTTATTTAACAGAACTTGCCATATATATTTTGAATAGGTTCATGGCATTGAAGCATCCACAAAAAGACATTCATGAAAGAGGACTTCCAGCACTGGTTCAGAAAAGTAACAGACAGTATGCAGTTAATCCCCTTAAAAATATATTCCCCCTCTGTTTAAAACACTGTATTCTTGCTGCTTTCTGTCTTCATGCACCTTATTCACTGGATCTCACACCACGTGACTTCTGACCTTGTCTCTATCTTTGCATGAATACTTAGTTTCATTTGCTGGAGAGGAAAGTACAAAGCAAAGATAGAAAGGTAACTATCTTTTTTAACCCTAAAAAGTCTGGAAAAAAGGATAATATTTGTAATAACATCTTTAGCTCATCTCCATCAATTGTGAAGTCTCCTGTACTTGAACAACAGGCAGAGTTAAACTTCTCAGGAAGTCAGTGTTCAGTTTGCCCTATGATTTAATCTGTGGAGTCTGATTGTCCTTGGGATGGTTTATGAGCCAGCAAGTGTAGCAATCATGAAGAGCCAAAAGCTATCCTAAATCATTTCCAATAGATTCCTTTTTAGTTCAGTGGTCCAGAGGATTAGATTTCAGTCTCAAGAAGGAATGGAATGATTGTGAACTATATACAATACTTAAAAAGCACTCAGAAGAGAGGAGAGCCTAAGAATAACGTCTTTGTAATATATGAATGTAAATTGCCGTGACCTTTCAGTTATGAATTAAACTTTCATATGTATTTACTCAGTAAATATATTATTATTCCACAATTGTTTATAATCAGAAACACTTTTTATATTATACTTCCAAAGGAATAATTATCATGATTATTTTTCATTCAGTTTAATTTTAAAATCATTCTTACAGAACATACCTATATAAACAAGCTCTCTCACCCCTTGATGGACATGCCATTTAGGTAAAACAGGCTGTGAAATTCGAGACTACATGAGAGATAGCCATGACCATCTTGACTAGCAGTAGTGATCCCCAAGAAGCTGAGATGATGTTGGTGACATGTGTCAACACAAGATCAGTTTTCACAAATATCACTCTGGTCTCTTTGGGGAGAGGAATATGAAGCTTTATAGCTTGAAGAAGAACTAAAACTTCTGTTTCTCAACACAGTGGTCAAGATGTGATCAAAAAATATGGTGAACATTTACATTAAAAAGCTATAAAAGCTTAATGCTTTGAACTTTCCTTTCCATCATATAAACAATTGGTTTGCCAACAGAAGCATTTGGCAAATTTTTATTTTTATTTGTGAACTCTGCATTTGATGACAAACAGATCATGGCCATCTTTCCTGCACAAACATGAACTGCAGGAGACAATTGAGTGACTCCCGTTGAATGCAGAATAATTGCTGCAACTTTGATTATATCAAGACTTATTTCCATATATCAATATGTACAGAGCTGACTATGGTATTTCCTTTTTTTCTTTCTTCAATTGACTCTAAGCATTGCAGATAAGACTAACTGAGGTACTGATACATAATCTCTAAAGCCATCAGACAGTCTCCTGTTTCCTTGCATAGAAAATAGCAGGATGACAGAGCCAGTCAGCTCCAAGAATGTCAACAGTATGAGCCTTGAAATAAAGAGGCTATGAGTCCCCAGGGCACAAAAATTTACATATCAGAAACTGAAGTAACAGCCTCCAAGAACAATTCAATTGCTACTTTAATTGAATTATGCAAATTGATCCTTCTGCATGTCATTATCAAAGATGCTTTTCTCCTTAGCTGGCTAGCCAGCTCAAGTTACTCAAGTAGTTCTAGCCATCCTCACTGTCACTCATCCTTGAGCCACTCCCCTCTTTACAAGATAATAAATTCTGGGAGAGGCCTTGGATCAGGGCCTTTGCCCATATATTCTCATGGGGATCCTTTGGCTGCCCTTAACTTTGAATATGCCTTGGTGTCTGTACTCTTACTGTAGATTGCATTGGAGGTGGTAGATTGGAATTAGCTTGCTAGGATTCCAACAACATCTCAATGGGATTATAAATATAACTTTTTGAATTGTGAGGAAGATAGAAATTATAATATTTGGATTACAATAATGAACATGGCCCTCTTTTCCAAAATTGTTGAATAAATTAAGTTCACGAACTAAGGTATCACTGTAAGTATGTAAAGATGAAGGGATAGACGGACCTGTTATAACAATTACTAGAAACACCTGGTAGCATTTTCAAATGCTTTTCTCCCAAGAGTCTGACATGCCTTCTTAGACTTTGGGGAAGAGGCAGTAGTCATACCCCTTTTAATAGTTTATTCATTCAGTAAATATTTATTGAATACCTACTAGGTGCTAGGAGTTTGGAAATTCAATGAGCAAAACCAGGCAAACAACTTCATTATGGAGTTTTGATCTGGAGGAGGTGAGAGAGGAGGAGTCAAACATCGATCATGTAACCACACAGGGAAATCAGTGCTGTAAAGGACACGTGTTAGTAATAGGAGTGATTTCATCTTAACTGTGGAAGGATTAGGTGGTGGAGGAAATCTTCCACACACACGGGCTGGGGGTTGTTTCATTTCTTTTTTTTTTTTTGCTTTTTGAGACAGGATTTCACTATGTAGTTCAGATTGGCCTTGACTCACTATGTGGCTAAGGCTGGCCTGGAACTTGCAGCAGTCTTCCTGAGAGGTTGTGGTTTGAAGGAAGCTGTGAGGATAAAAACCTATCTGAGAAGGAGGGGAGGTAGCATGAAATGTTGTTGTGTTGTTGGTTTGCCAAAGAAACATTATCAGGTTCTGGGTTCCTCTCCTTTCCTTTTGGAGTTGGAGTCCAGGTTTTTCTCATCTTGAAGAATGAATTGAATTAAATGAGCAAAAAGCTGTGGCAAAGTTTATTTGAAAAAGTAAAAGTGATGTGTGAGGGAGAAATTGGCTCTGCAGCATAAGCTTGGGCCAAGTAAAAGAGGAAAACTCAAGATAAACGGATACCTTGGAGAAAGCAGACTGGGTTATCACAAGGAAAACCATGATAGTGGGCTTCTTGTGGTATCTGTGTCCTTATATGTTGTCCAAATCTCAGAAAGCCCAGGAGAACTTCTGTATATGGATCCTGAGAGGCAGTGCTTGAATCTCACCCATTAGAGTGCTTTAGGTCTAGGCCATCCTACTGCAAACTTGCTTGAAGTCTTGCAAGAAGTCCATATGCAGGGCTTTAGGAACTGTTCTGCCCGTATGTCCAGAATCTTGTATTTAACAGGTCACGTCTACTTCCCCAGTCAGCTTTGCCATGCCCTAATCTCCTTTCTCAGCTTGAGCAGTTGGAAGGAGTCCAATTGTGGAAAGCCTTGTAGACTTCACTGAATTTTTAACTTTTTTTTTTTTTTTTTTTGTACTGGGACTCAAACTTAGGACTTTGCACTTGCTAGGCAGGCACTTGTGCTACTGAGCTACATTCCTGGCTAATTTTATCATTTCAAACAAAGCTGAGGATAAAAAGAGCACAAACCACTGCTTAAACCATTTCTTTAAATCAGTGAACTGACTAAGACTAAACTTTTCCTTTGTAGTTTTAGTTCCCCCTCCCCAAATGTAGACTGAAGAAGACTCACGACCTCAGCACTGGATACGTGTTCCATGATTTGTAGACTCCATCTGAAGATTATAATTGCTGGCCAAGACTCTTACTCTGCTCTTGTAGAATCTCTGTGCTAATTGAGTTCCACAGTTTTGGAACTGAATGATTTCAGCTGTCATCTATTCAATTGCATCTCCACATAAATTTAAGCATTTTGAACCATATACATAGTTAATGCTTTAAAAAGTGAGCTTTTGTTAACATTGATAGTTTGTGCTTGTGTTTTGTGTACTGGGGATTGAACCCAGGGTCTCAGCACTGAGCTATTTCCTCAGCTCTTTTTATTCTTGGAGACACAGTCTTGTTAAATTGCCCAGGTTGGCCTGAAATTTGACAATCTCCTTCCTAGAGACTATGTGGGGTTAGAGATGTGCAGTATGCACAGTTTTGTTGCATATATTAACTGTTCCTCTATGCCAGAGCTCCAGGTATGTCTGATCCTCTGGTGGTTGGGAAAGGAATTTGTTGGAGATCTTTTTTAGGGCTCTGTGAAATAAAAAAAACGAACATTTTTTTGAGGTAAGTCTCCTTGAACTCACCCTGTTGCCCAGGCTGGCTATATATCACTATGCCCAGCCAAACATCTGTGTGCATGTGTATATGTGTGTGTGTATGTCTTTTTGAGATAGGGTCTCCTTATGCAGTGCTGGCTGATCTTGAACTCACTTTGTAGCCTAGGCTGGTCTCCAACTTGCAGCGATCCTCCTGCCTCAGCCTCCCGAGAAAAACTATTTTCTTAATACTAACAGATTGCTTTTTTATTATCAAAAAGTTTTTTGGAGCTATATGAAAAAGGATAGTATTAATATACACAAGGAGCTTAGACCATCCAATTGTCTTCTATTTTGTGGCATCAGACTTCTCTCACATTTTGTTTTGAAAACTTATTTTTATTAAAAATGCTGTTTTTACATTTAATATAATGGTGTATTTTAAAAATTTAATACTAATAAATTAAACTGATATACTCTATGAACACGAGTGTAAAAGGATCCACTGCCGGATGCAATCCACTTGGAATAAACATGGACTCTTGGTACCTGCCCCAAAGCTCACACCTTTTTCTTGTGCTGTGGTTTTCTTTGCCCAGACTGAAATTCAATTCTTTTTATTTCTGCCTGCCAACTCATTCCCCTCTGTCAAAGGCTTCTAAATTTGAATCCCATTCTCATCCACGATGGCGAACGTGCTGGCCTCCTTTGACACTTGACCTTTGGCTTTTCACAGCGTTGACTGAGACGATGGGGCTGGGTTTGGGGATTTCCCGACCAGGGTACGCCCCTCCGCTCCAACCCAGCACAAGCCACCATCTTCCCCGAGCCTAACTAGGATGGTCCGGGTCGAAGGGTAGTCGGGATGCCGCAGTGGAGGATGCAGACAGACTCAACACAAGCAAGGACAGCATTCTCATCCGCGGAGGCTTCCGGGCGCCACCCTTCACCCCGCGTAGGGGTGGAGCCACACGACCGCTGAAGGCGTGGCGTCCAGCCCGCGCGGGAAAACAGCCGGCGCCGCATGCGCGCGCTCAGTCGGCGGCCGCGCGCAACACGCGTAGGGCGCGGATGGCGGCGGTAGCGGCTGGAAGCGGGACACCCCGGGAGGAGGAGGGGCCCGGAGGGGAAGTAGCAGCCTCGCAACCCCAAGCCCCGACGAGTGGGCCCGGGGCTCGTCTCTCGAGGCTGCCTCTGGCGCGAGTGAAGGCCTTGGTGAAGGCGGACCCTGACGTGACGCTAGCAGGACAGGAAGCCATCTTCGTTCTGGCGCGAGCCGCGGTGCGGCGGGAGCGCGAGGGCTCTCGGGAAGGGGAGAGAGTGGCGCGTGTTAGGGGCGGGGCTTCCAGTGGGCGGGACTTGTTGAGGCCCAGGAAGCAAGGGTTGCTGTGGCCTTGTTCCTAGAGGGATTTCACCCTCATAGGAGTTGTGTGGGTTAATCAGTGTCCTTTAGGAGGGCTGGTTGATGTCTGTAGTTTGTCCCATGGCTCACACACATCTTGTTGAAATGTAGGGCCTGGATAGAATGGATTTACAAGTAACTGAGAAGGGAGGTGTCATCCTAGCTTACTGAAGAGTGCAAGGCAGAATGACCTTCATAAAGCCCAGGGCAACTTTAGCTTCCAGAACCTGTGTGCCTGAATCCCCATCTCCTTTCCCCACTTAGGACAGGAATGCTTACCTTTCAGTGGCCTAGAACCCACTATCTTTCCTCTGCTTGTTTGCTTTACAGGAACTGTTTGTGGAGACCATTGCAAAAGATGCCTACTGCTGTGCTCAACAAGGAAAGAGGAAAACCCTCCAGAGGAGAGATTTGGGTAGAGTGTCACTGGTATCTGGGAGTAGACAAGGACATTGGGCCAGCCTTACTTTTTGCTGGCTGAGGAGGCATCACTGTGAAAATTGAGAGTTTGGTTTGTGATCTCCTTTTTGTCTAGTTGGTGACCCTTGCACATGTGGAGACTTTGATATACTATCTCACACTCCTGCTATGTTGCCAAACTCTTCTCTGATACTCAGAATCAGAGAATAATTGAATTGAGGGGTAAGACCTCAATTATAGGAGAGTTCTAGTTTTCCCTGTAATTGAAGAGTTTGCCTGGGCTTTTCTTACACCTGTAAAGAAACAACAAGTATATTGGAGTTAGTGGTGGAGTGGAAATAGATTTGTAGACAGCGAGGAACATATTTGTTATGGCCCCATGCCCTTTATTGTGTGCATTGTTTGGGGGCTGATGTTCAAATGACCAGTTGTTAATGAGGTTTGCCCTTACCATGTGTTTCAGATAATGCAATAGAAGCTGTGGATGAATTTGCTTTTCTGGAAGGTGAGTTCTAGGGGGCAATTATTTCCACCTGTTCGTGCTAATGTGAGTTCAAAAACAGATGCCTAATTCTCTCTTGTTTGTATAAAGATAATTCTTTCTTTCTGCTTCCTCTTGGGATAGAAAAAACTGACTTGCTTAATCTAGTAAGATTTGGTTTCCACCTTTGGGTAGTTAGAACTTCTACTGGAGAATTGCTAATCATAAAAAAGTAGGAGGAAATATAAAAACACTGGTAGAGTTACTTGGATTCAAAAGTTTGATTTCTACTAGATTTTCATCCTTAAGTGTAAAGTTTTAAAGTTAGAGACCAGAAACAATTGTCAGCATTTAAAATGTCACCATTTTTTTTGTTCTTTGGTAACCCATATAAAGTGATAACTTTGCTGTAGGGAGATTATACATTTGCCTGTATCCTTTTGTTCTTAGGAATTTTGGTTCATTTTGGGTATTAATTGAATCTTGTTGAAATAGCAAATATTTGAAACACTTGACTGTTCTCTCAGAGCTATTTCTGCTGATTAATTCCTCGAGCTTACTTTTCTGTGTGTATGAACTGAGTAGCTTTTCAGAAGGCATGTGTCCGCAGTTCATTTTCACCTTCCATTATCTCCTTTAAGCATCTTTAGCATCCTAAGTCTCTTTATTTTACTCTTTTTACTCCTCTATTCTGTGTCTATCAACCTAGGCATGTGACATTTTTGAGATATTCAGATTTAGGATACATTCCCATAGTTGGCTCCAAGGCTAGATTATTGAGGATTCTCTTACTTGTAGGTCTTTGTTTAGCCTATCTTAGTTTCTACTAATTTTTCTTAAGAATAGCTTCTGCTATTGTTCCTTTGTTTTGTAGCCAAGTGGACAGTGTTCTGTATGTGCTTGGAGAAGCGCTTTCTGTAGTTATTGGATGCAGTGTCACATTTCATTACTGTGTTCAAATTTTTGTTACTGAATTTCTTTTATCTGCTTATTTTATCAATTACTGAGAGCAGTAGGTTAAAAGTATCCCACTATAACCAAAGATTATTGTATTTTGATTTACATTTCTGGGTCTGTTGAAGACCATGTGATGAAGTGTACACAAATTTATATATTGATGAAGTGTGTAATTTGTAAATTGACCATTATTTCTAGTAATGTTTTTTGCCTTAGTCTATTTTGTCTAATATTTAAAATTTACTAGCTTTCATTAATGTTTAAGTGGTATTTTTCTCTTCATTCTCTTCATTCATTCTCATTGTATGTTACAATTACATATCTTTGTAAACAGTATATAGTTGGGTTATTTTTAAATTCAGATAGTCTTTGCCTTTAGCTGCAACACTAATTCATTTATGCCTAATCTGGTTAGTGATACCTGTCATATCTGTGTTAGTGATAATATTTCCTTTTCTCTTTTCTGTTTGTCCTATTTTCTTTTTCCTTTCATTTTTTATTGATTTTTTTTCCTTCTGTCAATTTGGAAGTTTATATATTTTGTTTCTATCCTTTTAGTGACTACTCTTAGTTAATTGCATACATTCTTGGGCTAATGTTAGAATCTATCCTCAACAAAATGAGATCTTAAAGAGGAATTAGGCTGGACGGGGAAGGAAGGAAGGAAGGGAAAAGAAAGTGATAAAAGAAAGGTAAAAGGGAAACAGTTTTATAAATAAGGAAGGGGGAATTGAAGGCAGGATAGGGGATTGGGGAAAAAAGAGGAAGCAGGATATATGACATGGGTGCAAAGTCCCTATGGTGAAAGTGATCATTATGTACATCTAAGTTGTGTCAATAAACCAAAAAAAGTCCTTTATTCCCAGCATCACATGCTGTTACTGTTACATGTCTGTCAGTCTACATAAGTCACTGTTTATATTAGATAGCCAATAACATAAATTTATCTGCATATTTACTATAATCATTGATCTTTCCTTTCTAAATTTCTCATCTGCTTATAATCATTTTTTTTCTCCCTGAAATGACTTTACCAAGCCTTTGTGTGCCAGTAGTTGACTCTAAGTTTCCCTTTTTTCGGTATGAAAATGCCTTTATTTTACTTTCATCTTTGAAAGGTTGCTGGTACTGAATTCTAGATGGAAAGTTATTTTCATGTATCACATTGAAACCGTTATTGTACTACTTTTTGGTGTCCATTATTTCTGTTCAGAAGTTGCCTGTTGGTGTATGTCTTTTGAAGATAATTCATTCCTTTTTAAGATTTTCTCTTTGCCTTTGATTTTATTTAATTTTATTTTGACGTATAGAAATGTAGGTTTCTTTTTATGTGTTTGACTTGAGCTCTTAAATCTGCAGTCTGATGTCTTTCATATGCCTGGGAAAATTCTTAGTATCACTTCAGACTTTGACTGTACTTTGTTCTTGCTTTCTTTTTTCTCTCTGGGATTCCTATTAAACATATATAAAGATTCAAAGCAAATTCTGCTTCTCTCTAATTTTCTGACATTCAGTTTACTGTCTTTAGTTCTTTCATCTCTTTTAAACTTTAACAATTTTTTTTAGTTTGTTTTTGTGTTTTTTTCAATACTGTGTGTTCTATTTGATTCTTTTTAAAACTTTGTTTTACTTTTTTGTATTTTCTACTACAGATCCTTTGAAGCTTGTCTTTTATTTCTTTAAATAGTAAGCACAATTGTTTTTAGTGTGTGTCCAGTCTAATATCCCATCTAATGTCCATAGCCTTCTGAAGCTTTTATAGTCTGTCCAATCTAATACCCAATCTTTTGAATTTGTCTTTTTATTGTCTCTTGTTTCTCTTTGTATTGTCTTTGTATACTGGTCATTACATTTGAAAAATTATTTGTTGGCTAATTTGAGGCTTGCATGGTGCTATCTTTTGCCAGGGAAGATTTCATTTACTCCTGCAAGGTTCCTAGGAGCATTATCAATCTTCTTAAGATCTGAGACTTGAAGGTTTCTGGACTTTCAGTGTAATACAGACCCAGAGTGCAGGTCCGTGAGGGTCTGAGTGAATTCTGGCTCAGGCTTGCTCTAGGGGTGTAACCTGTTGTAGCTCCAGCTTAGACAGAGGGGTTATCAGACCTGTCCACTAGGGTAGACTCCGAGGTTTGACTCTCGGTTTCCTCAGCTTTCCAAAATTAGGTGACGCTTTCTCAGTGCTATCTTTCAGATGGGCAGCTGCCCTCAGGCAAAAGAGCTTTGAAGACTGGACTTATTTTATGTTTGTGCCATCTCTAGCCTTTAGATTTGCCTCTTCTTGTTACTTGTTCAATAATTGAAAGGTTTTTTTTTCCTTGTTTGTTTGTATTTAGCTTTGTTATTTGATCTCAGTAGGAACTTGCCATTATTGAATGTGGATGCAGTTTTTTTTATAAACTAGAGATGTTTCTGGTTTTTCTTTTTCCTTGTCCTCTCTGATGTTTGAGGAGAGCATTCTCTTCTCCTGTTGTCTTTAGAAGACAGCCCTGTGCTTATATTTTATTTTTTTACAAGTTAGGTTTTGCACAGAGGAAGGCTGTGAAGAGAATGTAGGGGCAGCTGTTTGCCATACAGAAGCATGGGTCATTAACCTGTTTTCGTCTTAATCTCCTTGTGTCACTTCTGGTGACTGAGTCTGGAGCCTCCCTGGGGTTCTCCTAGCAGATGGACTCCTGCCTCTCCTACAGCCCCCTTTGGTCTCTCAGGCTCATTTTCCCTCTGTTTTATTTACAAACCTCTTTCAGATTTTAGTAATTCATATATATATGTATATATATACACATACACATATATATAATCGCTTAGTTTCTGGTGGCTCTCCTATTCTTTGTTGTAGCTTATAGCTTTAAAAAACCTGTTTTCCTTATGAATGTAAATTTGGATGGGATGGTATACAATTCATAGGCCCAGTCTCTATTTTAAACTGGAACTTTCTGAAAAGATTATAAGCTTAGAGAGCCTACCTTATTAATTTTATGTTAGTCACTTGGAGTATGATCTCTGTGAATGCTTAACTAAGACAATACTCTAGCCCTTTTCCCAGCTTTAATTCTAATTTCTAGATTGATATGCTTAATTCTTAAGTATTTGTATTTAGTTATGTTCTGTTTTTCCACGGGTATTTTTTAGATAGGTGTTCCTCAGAATTAGAACTGCTGCCAGTCCCAGCACCCCCTTGCTATTTTTTTTTTTGTTCCAGGGCTCAAACTCATGATCTAGCGCTTGCCAGGCAGGCGCTGTGCCACTGAGCTAAATCCCCGGCCCCACTCTTGCTATTTTAACCTGCCCAGATTGTTACAGTAATCAACCTGTTGAACCACCTTGCTTTACACATTGCTCTTTGTATTTTTAGGTACTTTGGATTGATTGTCGAGCTGGGAAGTTTTGTGAGTCTTGTCTGCGTTTTTCAGCTCAGCCCTCTGCAGACCTCAGCTTTGAAGAACAGAACGTATATCCTCTTCCTGTTTTATCTTTACCTGAGTTGGAATAAGCAGAGCTCTCATCTGACAGCGTTTCTTTGCAAGGCCTTCCACTCATGTCTGTCTTCCACTTCAGGCCTGGATGCAGCTGTTGTGCTTGGGACAGAAATTGTTCTGCATAGGTGGCTTCATGAATGATAAGGACCAGAATAAAAGTCTCTGATCAACTTTATCCTAGTGTGTTTTACGATCTTACCGTGCAGATCTTCTCAGTTATCTCTGCCAGCCTTCTAAATCACCGTCCTTTCATTAATTTTGTTCTTTTTTCTGTCATGTCACCAGAATGTGGTTCCAGGATTTATGGAATGATTTTTTTTTTTTTTTAGAGTCAAATGTAGTCCATATAGAAAAGCAGTTCAAGTTTTTAAAAACAGTTTTATTGAGACATAATTCATGTACCATATAGTTTACTAATTAGAAATGAACATGTCAGTGGTTTGTTAGTATATTTGTGGATATGTGCAACTGTCACTACAGTAAATTTTGGAAACATTTTCTTAAAGGAATCACATAATGGGTAGCCTTTTTGGTTTGGCTTTTTTCATGTTTTTTAAAGGTTTATTCATGCTATAGCAATGTATAGGTGTCCCTTTAAAAAATTGTGGTAAAAGACACCTAGAATTTCTGTTCCAGCCATTTTTAGGTTTATAGTTTGGTAGCATTAAGCATATTTATATTGCTGTGCAAGCATCACCATTCAGATTTTTAAAATCTTCCCAAACCCAAACTCCATTCTGCTTCTATAGTAATGTGTTTTTCCCTTCTGCCCTAGGCCTAGGCTAAATTCCAATTTTAGTGCGGTGTGGGTGATGCAGGAAAGAGTTTTTAGGAAGCAGTAGTTAAGAAAAGCATAAGAGGTCTCGAGCAGTGGTTCTTCAGAATTTTTGGATTGTGAACCACTTTGAAGATACAAAGTCCACAGGATCTTTTCCCTAGAATAATGCACAGATGCTGAGTCCTGTGACACTTATAATGGTAACCTTTATTTGAAAATAATGCTAGATCTATAGAAAAATTACAGGTTCCTTATATTTTATTTACCTATTTTCCCCATTGCTAGTATCTTGTCAGGTACATTTGCAAAGACTCAGAAAGAGGCCTCTATAGGTTACTATTACTGAATTTTAGACTTTTTGAATTTCAGTAACTTCCCTACTGGTACCTTTTTCCCATGATCTAATTCAAGATACTACACTGCATTTAGTTATTACATGCTCCCAGTCTCCTCTAGTTTGTGACAGTTTCTCAGTTTTTTCCTCAGTTTTTGATAGCCTTGACTACTACTAGCTAAGTTACTTTGTAGAATGTTCCTCACTCTGGATTCATTTTTCTTGTCATTAGTCTCGTAACTTTGCATATAAGTTTGGGTGTTACACACACCCTGGAGTATAGGAACTAAAAGGGCATGATGGCTTTTTGTTGAAATTAGTAGGTTGTAACTGATAAGTGGGATGCAGAATAAATGTGTTGTTACCAGAATTTTTTAATATAACCAAATGATTAGAGTTAATAGTGTACTGTATTTTTGAAAAGAGAAAGGATGTTAGACTGTCAGTACTTCAAAACATGTTCATGATTAAAAATAATTGTCAGTTTTAAAAAGTAACATGAGTGTTCCATTCTATAAAGATTAGTGTTTTAAGTTTTGTTTCACTTAATGTTTCTGTACTAGGTCTTTGTGTAAAATGTGTTAGGCAGTTTTGGCTCCCATGCCTTTCACCTCCTCCCCGTGTAATGCCTATTAACAAAAGAGCACAGTTACTAATTGGTTAACTTTAAGATAGACTGTACTGGATTTTCTGGAAAGGCCCAAAATAATCACATGATCATTCCTTGAAAGCAGGAGAATTCTCCCAGGTAGAAAAGGACGTCAAATCCAAACTTGAAGGGCTGCAACCTGCTGTTGCTGGCTTTAAGATGCAGGGGCGGTGAGTAAGATATGAGCAGCTAATAGAGCCAGGAAAGGCGATGGCCTATGTAGACACCGTCTCAGTCTTATGACTACAGAACTGAATTCCGCTAGTCACTTCTAAGGTGTTGGGCATAGACTTTTCTGTGGAGTGTCGGATACAAAGCCCAGGCCAGCTGACCTCTTCATTATGGCCTCCTGAGACCCTCAGTGGAGAACAGTGATACTGTGCTAGGTCTCCGACCTGTGGAACTGCGAGGCCGTAAATGAGTATTAAGCTGCTAACCTTGTGATAATTTATTATGTCAGGAATCAAAAACTGAGAGGACGTATTTCTTAACTAGAGTCATGGTTAAAAATTGGAAAATCCTAGATAGGGGTCAGGAGGCTTCAGTTCTCCTGTACTTGATTAGTTCAGATGATGTATGAATCACTTGCTTTTCTGACCTTTCTTTTGTGAGTTGAATGGGTTATCCTAAAGTTTCTTCCATTTGACATCTTTTAGGAACTTTTTTTTTTCATCAAAATATATCCCCTTTAGTATGTAGCTCTATGGGTCTTAACAAATACATACGGTCATTTTTATTATCAAAGTGTTATAAAAATTTGCTTAGTATTTAAAACATTATTACAATAAAAGATACATTGCTTTAACCTCTTTGAAAACACTCCTCCTTGCTTTATATACATCCCATCATTTTTGCCACTTTAAAAAAATTTTTAAACTTTAATTTTAAAGGGAATAAAAGAGCAATAAAATGAATCAAAAAGTGATAAGAGTAAGATATCTACTATAGTTACTGTATTGCATATTGTTGTTCTCTAAATAGCTTAAGGCTTTCAGTCAATCAAACAATACAGTTCCTCCAAATCAGCTGGTTTAGGGAGGATGGAGGGAAGACCCACGGAGACTGCTGACACCATTCTCCTCGCCCCAGCCTTCCAGGCCAGCTCACAGGCGGGGCTTAGCTTCCTTCCTCTTCTCCCCAACTTCTTGAAGCAGTTCTGGAAGTCCCCTTTTCTGAGTGTCTTTTGTTATGCTGTTGTGATTGTCTAAATGTCCCAAAGCAATTCAAAACCTTTACCTTTTGTGGTAGAAGTTTTGACTTTGAGGAAGAGTCAGAAATCCCACTTGCTAGACCTGGTGAATGGGGCAGATGAGGAAATGCTTTCATTGGACAGATTTGCTATAAACACTTTGAATCTATTCAGAACATTGAAGTGGCACAGGAAGACAAAAGCAGTCCAGGACTGCTTCAGAAAGTGGGAAGGATGATGGGGTAAGTGGGTTTAAAGTGAGAGGGGAGTATTTTGAGGAGAATTAATGGCAGCATGTCTTTTTTTTTAGTAAATTTTTTTTTAAGAGTAGGAAAAATGTATTTAGAGAAAGCAAGCTTCCGTCTTAGGAGGAACAAAAGGGGGCCTGAAAAGTGGGTTGCCCGTATAGTAAATTTTTAAGTATTCATCATAGATTTTGGTCACACCAACCAAGTAGAATGCTTCATGGTTTCTCTTATAGGAGAGGCACAAAACATAAATAAAGAGCAAAATAAAAGATAATAGAAAGTAGAGAGGCGATCACAAGTGGGAAAGAGGTCAAGAGAGGGAGAGGAAAAGATGAAAAGAATTAAGGTGAGTTGCACACATGTACCAATCCCTCATGAAGAATATAAACATCTACTGCAAGCATGTACTAATAAGTAAAAAGAATGCCCAATCTATAAAAATTCTTCATACAATTCCTTTCTGGTCAACCCCTCCCACTAACCCTACCCCTGGTGTCACTGATCTATTTATTGTTTCTAGTTTTGCTTTTCCACAATGTCATGTAAATTGAATCAAATAACGTGGCCTTTTGATTCTGGCTTCTTTAATTTAGAAGGTTTGAGGTTAACCCATGTTGAGTCACTAGTTTGCCCCTTTTTATTGCTGAGTAGCATTTCATTGTATGTAATTTGTGTAGTCTACCCACTCATCAGCCCTCGGACATTTGGAAATTTTCAGCTTTTGATAACTGAATAAAGCCTCTGTGCATAAGTTTTTGTGTAAACAGTGTTTGCTGCTTCTCTTGGGTAAATATATGTGAGTGGGAGTGGATTTTGTAGCAGTTTAACTTTTAAAAGACATGCTAAAGTGTTTTTCAAAGAGACTATATTATTTTCTACTTAGACAACGTTTGAGAACTTTGTTATTTTGCATTCTTATGCTCACTTGGTATTAACTTTAAATATTAAGATTTATCCACTCTGGTCAGATGTAATGGGACACGCTGATAATCTCAGCATTTGGGAGGCTAGGACAGGAGGATTTCTGTGAGTTCAAGGCCAACCTGGCCTGCAGAGTGAGTTCAAGGTCAGCCTGGTCGAGTGAAACCCTTGTCCTAAAAAAAAAAAAGCCTCTCTAATGGTTAGTGGTGTTTTATTGTGGTTTCAATTTGCACTTAACAGATAAATTATGCAAAATTTTCTCTTGGTTCAAAATGATAATAAATACTGTGAAAAAGGAAAATATTCAGATGAGAAGAGGAAGGAAACGAAAGAAAAAAAAGTGAGAAAAGATGGAAAAAGTGGAAAAACTTTTGTAAGTGAGCAGGAGGGGTTGAAGGGAGGGGAGGGGAATGGGGAAAAAAAGAACCAAGGCATATCATATACAGGTACAAATTCCAAAGATGAATGTAATCATGTGTACGTTAAAATGTACCAATAAATTTAATAAAAATTTTTTTCTCTTGGTCCTACAACATATGTTTAAAAAACCTTATGACTTATTTTTAGCTGTGCTCAATTGTGTTGGTGAAATGGTTTAATAGGAATCTGGGAACTCCTAGCTTTCTTTCTTTCTTTTTTTTTTTTAATTTTATTTAAGGAGAAAAAAGAAAAAAAACAGAAAAAGGGTACAAGTCATACAGACTTTCAGAAAAAAATAAACAGTAGGAAATCACTAATTACATATTGTCATCTTAGAAATAGTTGTTGAAGTTACAAAATTAAAGCATATAGAGTGGACATTCAGACAGTGACACTGCAAACAGTTTTGTTCAATGATCCAACAAAACTCAGTAATATGGTTATCTATCTTACACACTTAAGTATATATGCAGTTATATCTTTTAGAGAGCTTTCTTTTCTTTTGTACAATGACAATTACACATTTTGGGTTTTATTATTCCCACAGTTCTTGTTATTTTTTTTTTTTTTTTGAAGAAAATAAAACCGAATGTTACATACCAGGACAGAGTAAAATCAAAAGGATGGACATAATACATAATGTAAAAACACAATACAAGGTGATCAACAATGGTTACCATACTGCCTCTTGCTATCTTAAGAATTGCCTAAATCATCAGTTATAATAAAATTGAACAAAACAGTAAAGAATAAGACCAATAAAACCAAAACATTGGAGACATTAGAGGACTTCAAAAAAAGATAATAGTCAACCAGAATGGGCATCACAATGAATCTTATTGTCTTTAAAGTTGTTGCCTATACTTTCAAACTTGGTTCTATCAAGCATAACAGAATAGAGGAAAATCAGTCAAAACAAGAAGGTGAGAGCAATACAGAGTTTCAAATCAAGTTAATAGGAAATCAAAGTGGGTTACTATAATATATCCTGCTATTTTTTATTTATTTTTCCCTTAATTAAAAGGATAAAAATGAAAAAGTAGATAACAAAAAGGAGATTGAGATAAAAAAGAGGACATAACAACAAAACAGTGCAGGTCAAAACAGTCATTTAAGCAAAATAGTGTTTCACCACAAGATAATCTCGACATAATAGTAGTTACCATAGTGTCTCTTCCCTTAAAATTTTTGGGTATAACTTTGTATATGTAGCATCAAATGTATCAAGACAATGTAAAACTGTTCAAGAGAATGACAGTATTACAGGGTATTTAGAATCAACTAACAGAAAATGAACAATGGTTTCTGTATAATCTCCTTGTCTATAAAAGTTTTTGTTTATATTATCACATATAATAAAGTCCAATAAGATACAACACATTAAAACCGATGGAGACAGAAGAACAAAAGCTTGATGGGACTTCAAAACAAGAGGATATTAAATCAGCACTAGCTATTATGATGTCTTGTTTTCTCCAAAATAGTTGTTCCTACCATCCAACCTTCTCTGCCTCATTTCTGTTGAGCTCTTTTTCTGTCATTTAGTCGTCAGTTTGTCTTCTTCATTTCGCTTTCTGCTCCATTCATTGTGGCCTCTCTGCCACTGTTTCTGGAATCTTGGTATTTTTCATTTTTAGAATATCCTGCAATATTCTCTGTACAGTTGAATTGATGGTTGCAAATTCCCCTAGTTCCTCTTTATCCTGGAAGCACCTTGTTTTTCCATCAACTTCTAGGGACAGTTGTGCAGGATATATCAATCTTGGCTGGAGGTTATTATCTTTCAAAGCTTGAATTATTTCCCCCCACGCTCTTCGTGATTTGATGGTTTGTGCTGAGAAGTCTGCTGTAATTCTGATGGGTGTTCCCTTGTAAGTGATCTGTTTCTTGTCTTTGATGGCTTTTAATATTCTGTTCTTATATTGGATTTCTGGAATTTTGATTATTATATGCCTGGGTGTAGCTCTGTTTGGGTTGTAGGTGGCTGGGGTCCTGTATGCCTCATACATCTGAGTATCTTTACCTTTTGCTAAATTAGGGAAATTCTCCTGGATTATTTCTGTGAATAGCTTTTGTAGTTCATTTGTTTGAGTACCTACTTCTTCTTTTATGTTCTTAATTCTTAAGTTATAGATCCTCTTATCATCTTCTAGTCTTTGTATTATTGCTGTTTGTTTTCTTGTTATTTTTAAGAAGTTTTTCATTTCATGCTCTCACCTTACAAATCTGTCCTCCAGTTCCGATAATCTATCCTTAGTTTCTTTCAAGCTGTTATGCCAACTTTCAATAGAGTTTTTAGTTTCCTGGTAATCTCTTTGAACCTGTTTCACATATTCTATGATTTCTCTATTTTCTCCATCAAACAATTCTCCCCTTTTTTTCTGTTCTTCCATTCCACCATCTGTTTTTTCTTGGGCGGTGCTTAGCATTTCTCTAACTATTCTACTGATTTTTGCTTTATTTCATTAAATAGTTCATTTTTGAACTCGTCTATGAGGCTCCGGAGATACCACTTTATGTCTATAGGTGCCGTGTTTGATATTGCATGTTTTCTGTCTTCATTCTCTTTTGCATTTACCTTTCCTGCATCAGTGTTCTCAGGATTGGGGACTGAAGACCCTTTCTTGTTGCTCCCTTTTCCCATACTTTTTGTTTGTTCCATACAAGCATATGTAGGAGGCCCAGTTTTTTTTTTTCTCTTTGTCTGTTACAGTTTGTTTGAATCTGCAGCTAGGTGTTCCCGCCCACTGCAGTGTACTAGGGAGACACAGACCTGGGCAGCTTCTGCTGGGCCCGCTCCTCCAGGCCAACCTACTGAATGTTTCACAGCTAGGGTGCATCGCCAAGCGCAGGGACCTGATTTGGGCTAGCCTACTGGATCTTAGTCCGCGGCGTCACCAGGCCAAGCGCTCCCCACCACTCCTGCTTGAGAGGGGAATATGCGACTAAAGTCACTGCAGGGCCCTGTTCCAGCTAGTCTGCCCGTTCCCAGAATGTCCTCTATTGGAGCCTCCTAGTCTGTGAAAGTCCCCATTTCTCTCATCGCAGGTCGATGCAGGGCTCCCTGCCAGTGCTGCTCTCAACACTGTTTGGTTCACCGATTCCAGCTCTCAGAGCTTTCGCCCCTCTCTCTCCCTGCCGTGTGGATTGGGACACAGTATTGGCAGCGGGAAATTCAAATCGCGGCTTCCAATGGCGCAGTATCCAGCTTTCGCACTGAGATTTTATCTGTTCCTGTTATAGCATCAGGATTGCATTTCCAGTTGGTTTCTCTCAGCTTAGTTCGTTCCTGGGTCAGCAGGGTACATCTCCACTCACATAGGCCTCCTCACACGGCACCGCTCCTGGATTCTAAACTGGTAATCTAAGAGAGCCTCCGTGGCTGCTGTTATTTGTCCGCCATGTTCTCCTGGCTCCGGAAACTCCTAGCTTTCCCACATTTCCTGGGAAGTTCTTTGGGGGAGGAGCCTGCCTTTGTGCTCTGCTGCCTCTTGCTGATGGGCTAATAGACAGGCAGGAGCCCTGTGTTCCCAGTGTGTCTGGCGAGTGGTTTCCTAGCAGTGTTGATCCTATTTGGGATGGAGAAAGGCAAGCTACTGAAACCTAATGTTAATAGTATGAAGACTGATACTTAAAAAACAAGAAACCACACCACAGAGTAGAAAAAATTAAAATTTGTCCCAGTTCCTTCTTTGTATCTGAACCAGAAAGCTGCTGTTTCCCACTTAAGCTAAATAGCTCTGAACACTAGTACTTGAAGCATTTTTTCTTTATTTTTTTCTAATTGGCCTAGAATATCTTCACACTTTGGATTTTAAAAATGCTCTTTAGAGTTTATATTGTTTTCTTCCCTTTTTTCTCATAGGAATCTTTTTCTGGTCATGTCTATAAAATTTAGGTGAGTGGGGATTTTCAGTGTACACTGAGCTGTGGGTACACATACTATATGTAGTTAAGTATAGTTTGTGATAACACCACATAGAGTCTCCTTTCTCTAATGCCTAATTTAAAAAAAGCAATCTCCACTGATTTCATATCCATTAGCAAAATATTTTGATTCAGGAATGAAACGAGTAGAACAAATTGCTGTGCCACAAACTTCAAAAAGTGGTGAATGAGGAATGACACAGAAGATTCTGGAATTGAGAAGCACATCACGGATATTTATTATAGCGACAGCTGACGAATGCAGCATTGTTACTGTGGTTTTGGTACCAATCATCTTGGTTTTCAGCAGTGCTTACTGAGCACTTTCCTATTCTGGCTGTGGGTCACATATAATAGCAAGAGGATAAATAAGAGACGAGAGCTGTTTGAAGTGCTCACGAGGGAAACGCAGGGTCTGCACATCGGACATTGTGCTTCGCTAATGAGTGTTCTTTTTGGAGAAAAAGGTTCATTGTGATGCGCTAACAATCCTAGG